GTAGTGATTTTTTTAAAATTTTATTTTAAAGGAGAAAGAATGGAAGCAAAATAACAAAACTAAAGAAAAAAGTGAAACAATACAAAAACAATAAAAACAATACAGAATTTCAAAATAAGACGATAGGAAATGAACAATGGTGGTTGTATTATATACTATTTTCAAAGTAGTTGCGCAGATCAACAGATACAGGTATGCAAGACTGGTCGAACAACTAAACATTAACCGTTCCTCTCAATAAACTAGACATCGGATTGTCTCCTCAGTGTAGGAATCTGCAAGAGTAAATAAAATCTGAAAGGTGCAATAGATATTGTGAAAGGGGAAGAAACTGTTCAAAAAGAATAGCTGGGGTGAGGGAAGGGAGAGAGCAAGGAAAGAAGGAAGGAAAAAATGCATAGTGATTTTGCAAATGCCACTGAATGCATCAATTTATCTGCTAGGAAAGCTCACTCCCTTGTTAATACCCACTTTGCCAGATTAAAAGAAGAAAACAGCCAAAGAACCCAGGATCACAGAGCAGCAGACGTGGGCGGGCTTCTCCGTGCATGAGTTAACCGGCCAGCATCAACAGACAGGCGCTACGCGAGGCCTCCTTCCGCAGCATGAGCTCCACACCGGCTTCTCTTTCAGACCACTGAAAGTGGTTTTCAGTGTTGCCTGTGCTGCAGGTTGAGAAGAACTTGAACTCCAAAGGCAGCGTGCTCTGCAGGGGAATACCTTTCACCGGGCCTGTGTGGGCATGGCCCAGGAGTCAACATTAATATTATTCTTTCAAGGGTTTTTAGCGTATAAAAACATGACCTTTTATCGACTCATTTACGATTCTTAGTGGAAATCTTCTAGTTCATGTTACAATAACTGATCTTTGGGGATTTGAGTGGGCAATTACTCAGCTAAATAAAGCAATTGCTTTTCTAATCTGCTCATGTAATGTTTAGTTAACCTGTTCAAAACCAAGCATGGAGGGACGCTCTTGCTTGTTTCCTTTTCCTTATGAGTCGTAGGGGACTGTCAGTGCATTCCTGCAGTGCCTGTATAAACTGGATCTTAGCAATACATTATGTTTGAAGTTCTGTGCAAATATCACAAATGCGAAGTAGAGAACAAATTTGGAAAGTGTTATTTTAATATTCCAATTGGCAAAGCACATTTTTCAAGACTGAGCAGGAACATATTTCTCTCCTGATTTTAAATTTGTGATTAAATGGTACACTTTCCCTGTTACACCAAGGAAGAAAATACTCAATTTGGGAACTAAGTCAATATAGGAATTGTCCACATGTGTTGGAGACATAGACATCTTCTTGGAACTTCAGGAACTAGTACTGAATTTAAATCACTTGAAGTGAATGTTCTGAACAATATATCCCCACTGCTGCTGGAGATTTAATCTCAAGGTAGAGATATGAATTGGGTGAGAGGCTGGAAAGCTTTGGATTGCATGGCTGGAGCAGAAGAAACAACGGGAAGGTCATGAATGTGTCCTGACACTAGTTTGGTGACACAATAAACAAATCAAAACAGTGAATTTGGTGAATTGCAGACAGATGGGAGTGGAGATGAGGCATCGACAGAGCCAGGACAAACCGTGCGGCTCCGGAGACCAGGTGCTCACTCCTGGTGGCCCCGGGTAAGCTGTGAAGTTACACAGCCACACGTTTGCTTGCACACCAGGATCAAGGAGCCAGCTCTTAATGTTCTAGGGCACTGGGCTGTCTCATGAGAGCTCACTTGAGGACTCTCGCAGATGATGTGCTTTTTACCGTCATCTACAAGGGGCAATTTTCAAATCTTTCCCTTTTTCTGACTTCCAGACCCAATCATTTCTTTAGTACTTCATGATACACAACACGACTCTGCAGAAAGCTGACTTCCCCGTCACCTCATACGCATCTTGCCACACGTCTTACCACTCCCAGTGCCGAGATTTCTGCCTTGGCTCCAAAGGCAGTTACACAGTCACTTAAGTGCAAATCATGGAAATGAGTCAGGAGGAAGAAATATCAAGACTGCAGAAATCCAAGAAAGTGGATGTTTTGGTACATAATAAGGGTATATTGCTTACATTGAATGCAAGGCATTCAAAACTTACTGGTAGAGCAGAGATTTTAAGACAATATACACAGGATAATAGGTTGGCATGTTTTGGTACATAATAAGGGTATATTGCTTATATACGCAAGGCATTCAAAACTTACTGGTAGAGCAGAGATTTTAAGATAATATACACAGGATAATAGGTGGCAAACACTAAACAGTACACTCTAATTCCTACAGAAGCCTGTTCTTCAGAGTCTTCCCTCCAATACAAATCCCTGGCTGATGGACCCGTCACCTCTTTAGCTAGACCAAAAGCCTTTCATCTGCACTTCGTTTTCTCAGTCGATCGGTACCGCTCACCTTTCTCATTGCTGCAGTGCCTGGCATACACAGGTTGAGGAGCAGAGGCTTGATGTGGCTCCTGGTTTCAGAGGCTGCAGTCCATGGTGAGCAGGCACCAAGACAGGAACATCATGGCAGAACAGGATGCCAGAGCAAAGCTGCTTAGCTCGTAGTAGCTGGGAAGAGAGCGGGGAGAGAGCCAGGGAGGAATGGGCCAGGATCTGTCTGTAGGACTCCCATGTCCATGACCCACTCAGAGCGAGCTTCACTAACCCGTTCCAGGTTTCTTTCTCCCATCAAGCTGGCAAAGCAGGAGGAACACTTGCCCCGTTCTCCTTTCTTCTGGTATGTTTACAGCCAAGCCGGGAGGGGCAACTCAAAATGTTCTTCGACGTTACAGAAAAGATGCAGTTGAGTGCCAAGCTTTGTCTTCTATGTAGGACACTGGCTTTGAGTTGCTCAGGGACCCTTTTTGATTGTGGGAGGTGGTGAAGAAAGTAGGAGTAATGGAGAGATTGGGGAGATAGATACTCAGCAATCACACCCTTCTGTGTAAATACTTCTTTGTGCCTGTGTGTGAGTGTGGGAAGAGGCTGAGAAGAAGGCAAACTGTCACATGTCCCTTGGCATCTTGGGAAAATTGAGGCAGATTTGAATGGTTTGATCACGAGTCCCCTTGCACACTGTGCTCTTGTGGACAAGCCCCTCCCCTGCCACAATACTCTGCTGGACACAAGGGACCGGCTCGAGGCTGCTGATCTCTCAGTAGTGGACTTGGGTTTCTCTGCCAGTGTGCTGAATTATTCAAACCTGGCAATATTCTCCTGTGGGAATCAGGGGTCCCTCATCCGTGTGGTACCGAAAGCCTGCTTCCTCCTGACCCTGGCTAACCGCAGGCGGCCTACAGGAGTGTCATCTCTGCTCTCTGCAGGGTGTGGGTACACAGGACTGGAAGCCTACTGCCACCCTCATCTGTCCGGGGATGCTGTGTGTGTAGTCCTCCCGACGGCCCAAGGAAAGGGCTCTCTATCACCCCAGGGAGGACGAGGAGGAGGCAGTTGAAAGAAGGCATGGTGTGGACCAGTGTCCCAAGTGCTTGGAGAAGCAGATTCAGACACTCTTCTCATTTAGGGCTTGGAAAGACATCCCCGCAAGAAAGAGGAGCCAAGCACATGGGGAGACCTTGGAGGCAGAGGCAGTGGGGCGTGGAATCCCTGCGTGATGCAGGGGGACAGAGTTCTCTGTCCCCGACTGGGCTTCCTCAGCCAAAGTGTACCACACAAACATTATCGTCTGTGGAGTGGACAGCACGGATTGGTGCGGAGTCTAAAAGTGCGAGTCACAATCCGCCATTGCTATGATTTGTTTTCTGCTGTTTGCTGCTCTAAGCTGCCTCTTTCTTGATCTTCCATGAACCCATGCACTTCGTTTCTTTGTTTCTGTCTCTTTTCTTTTTGGCTTTTCCTCTCAGATTTAGCCCTTAAACGGTCAGACACATCGTGACTCTCTTCTGCTTATTTATCATCTTGTTCTAAAAGTTCTCACTCACTGCAGTGGCTTTAATTGCTCTAGTGGAAACATTTATCGTAAATTCGTATGTCTCAGGCCCAAATTCCTCTCCTGAGCTCCCCATCTTACACTCCAGGGCCCACAGAGTATATTCACTTAGATGCTCTACGGCCCATCAAATGCAGCATACTGTCTCTGAGTATTCCCAGACTCCCTTCTTACAGTTTCGGCTGCTCAGCTCTGAAATGCTCACTTACCTACTCTCTCCTACCTCCGCTGCGCAAGCCACAGAGCGCTCTTGCGCTGTGTATCAGCTCCTGTCTCCGCGGTCACCTGCACCTGCTGGTCCCCTCACTTCTCACTCGGGCCCGGGTTTGCCACCCTCACACTTTGGGGCGCCCCTGTGCGGCACCTGGGCCGGTGGCGGCCGTGCCCCTGATTTCTCCGCGTCCTGCCTGCAGTACTGCTCTGTAGTTACTCCACAGTACCCATTTTCTTCCCTTTTTTTTGTCCAGCCATTGTGAGTTTCTGTTAACTTGCTAGGCCAGTTCTCTCCTTCAAGGTATTTAGAGAGACTCGCACTCTCACCTTCTTCATGAGGGCTTCCCGCCGGGGCTCAGAGCAGCCTTCTGCTTGAGGCAGTGCCTCTGCTGCCGAGCCCGCGGGGCTGCCGCGTGGGACATCCTGGAGCTGCGCTGTCACCTGTGGGAGGCGTTTATGGCACGGGATGGTGTTCTCCTCCTCACCCTCAGCCTGTGCGCCCCAAGCCCTGAGAGCGGGCAGGGGGCTATTCCACCACTGTACCCACAGTGCCTCCCCCATACTAAATTTTCATTGTTTAATACTTTTAAATTAGCAATTAAAAGAATATATGAGATATTCTAAATAGAAAAGAACGGAAAGGTCAGGTGCTGCCGGTTTGGTAGTTCCCGGGGTGCAGGGGGTGCCTCGGGAAGGTGAAGGACGGAGGTCACGGACTGGCCTGGCGGGAGGCTGCGGGGTCAGGGACAGACGCGCGTGTGCCTCCACCCGCCGCCGCTTGCTCCTCTCTCTCTTCTTTGCAGTCTCAGTTCCTTTGCCTGATATCCTTGGAAACCGCGCGAGAAGGAAGCAAAACAGTCCCATTAAATCGTCTCTCTCCTGTTTCCCTTCCACCTTAAAGTTCTCCCGTTTGCTCGCCTCTTCCTCCGACCCCAGCCAGGAAAACTGAGAAGGTATGCTGGGAAAAGTCTCGGTTTACCGATTTAACTGATAACATTTCTTGTGAACTTATTGGGAGGGGGTGGCAGTTCCAGGTTATCTTATGTAAATTATTATTCATTACCCGTTTTAAATATAAGTGGATCAGATATGTGTTCACAGTAAAAAGCAGTTAAAATAATTTAGCTCCCTTACTGCTAACTTTTTAATGAATTTTAAATCAATTGTAGAGGTGTTGCTATGTAACTGTACTTAAAAATATAGTATAGTTGTTATTTCATCAGGATCTTGAGCATCTTAATGTGTAACTGTAAGCTGTGCTTTAAAGAATTAGATTTTTGTGGAAATCACATAGGAAATGTAGGGCAAGAGTGTCACAACTACAGGAGTGTTTGCACAGTCTGTGCTGCACGGCTTTCCAGACAACCCGAGGAAGGGGAGGGAATGTTTGCGTTTTCTGTACGGTGAAAGCCCTTTCGGCAACAGCCCCAGGTCACAGGCACACAAGGCTCCACCGCTAGGCTTGCTGCTCAGGAAGCTGATGTGTCCGTCCTCATGTCATGTCCCAGGTTCTCACCTTGAACCCAGTGCTACTCAGCCCATTAACCAGTTTTGCGTTTAATGGAAAGTTGGCGTGAGAAGTATATTTTTACATATATTTATAAACTTCGATAGTATCCCTTATTTTTTTCATGGAGAATTGTCAAAATTAGCTTTTTGGGGGAGTAAACTAAAACAATTGGCTAGGTATGCTATACCACAACCATGCAAGGCTCCTTTGTGTGTGTAGATAACACTTTCTCCTTCCAGATGACAAGTCCCTTCAGACAACCCCATATTCCCAAGTGCATTCTGGACAGAGGGAGGATTTTGGAAAAATCCATGGAGTATCTAATCACATGCCTTGGTAAGGGATCACTGTTTGTACACGTGTGTGTGTGTGTGTGTGTGTGTTAAGGCAGATGGGCACCTGTACCAAAGTGTTAACTGTAAAATTATTGTATGGAAAGCCATTTGCATCTAGGCACTGTCTTCGGGGTGCAGTCCTTGTCTGGTTATTTCCTAGATGACAGTATTTAGTACCTCACTGTCTTAGGATGCTCTTCATGCAGTGATTTTCTTGGCACAAGATAGATTCTCAATAAATATCTGTACTGAATTTGTTTTATAGATGTTGTGAGTTTGAAGCTGTGTTATTCCCAGATTTCTTTCTTTTTTTTTTTTTTTTGGTACCAGGAATTGAACTCAGGGTTTTGAGCTTTCCAGGCAGGTGCTGTGCCACTGAGCTGCATCCCAGCCCAATTGCTAGATTTCTGTTTCTCATAATGACAGAAAAAGAACAAGACCCCCCATCAATCACTTTAACCAGGGGACGAATGACCTGGTGCCGAGGAAGAAGAACTGCATTCCAGTGTAGTGATTCAAACTAGCTTGAAAATGGAAACAAACATTGTGGGGCATTTTATGTTGTGATTTACAGAGGCACTTATGTAGAGGGTTGTGACTTCTAGGTGCCATGTCCAGTAAGGAACTATTCTCTTTGGGTGATTTATATTAAAATATAATGTCATCTTTTAATTTGAATTGACAAGCTATTCAGATTCATTTACTTTATATGGTATTTTTATATTAATAGAAAAATAGTTGTAGAGGGCTTTATGTTGGTATTTGAAGAGATTTTATCAGCTAAGTGCTTTACTGATCAATTGCATAAATATTTCTAACTTGTTTTATAAATATTTTAAATACATCATAAAATTAGATTTTTAAAATCTTGAAGCTCGTATTATCATTTGGAAGAAACCTATACTCTTGGTCTTTAGTATCCTAGATGCCAAATGTATTATTATTCTTGCTATTTTTCCTTTCCTTAATTTCTAATATTCAGCAATAAGGCAATGAGCTAAAACAAATATGGATGAACAAAACTGAAAGGTTTTGGAACACTAAATTAATCACGATTGTAGTCATGGCAACACTTAATATGTCATTATTAGGCATAAAGAACGTCATGAAATCTCCCCTCAGTGCAGTCAGAAGGATTCATGAGTCTTATAAGGAAATATTTCTGAAAATAGAACTTTACTTCTGGGAAGAGAGACAATAAAGAAAAAAATAAGGCAGTGTTTCCCCATTTATTTCTTACTTTTTCCTTTCTTTTTAAGAAGTAGCTTTAAAATAGTGAGTGATTTTAAGAGAACAAACTAAGAGGGAAAAAATGGCATCGAGGCTGAAACATTTTGAATCTCCCCCAAAAGCTCTCTTATTCACATTTTTTGCCTTATATGGTGACCCCAGATTTAGCTACCGCACACGGAAAGAGGCCAAGGGAACCCAAGCGAACATCTCTTGCCCTCTTTCCTATAAGACCCAGCCTCGTCGATTGCAGCTGGAAGTTTCTCTGGGTTCTGTGGGGAGGGCTGGTTTCTGTTTCTCCTCCCTTTTCTTTGCTGCTCTCTTCACGTCTGTCCCCTGGTCCTCTTTGCAGGGACAGCGGGACTGCGTCTTTCCTCCTCCCCCGGCTCCCTGGGAGGACCTTGGGCAGGGGCCGCAGCCAGCCCCCGCTTGGGCAGTGCGGACTTGGCCTCAGGAGTTTGGCCCAATGGGTGCCAGTCCTGAGAGCACAGTGTCTCACCCTTCCACCTGCGAGCCAGCTCTCCTGGGTGTCTTGCTTTGGCCTTCCCAGTGTTTAGCCTCTGATCAAGAAAACCCCACAGACTGGATGGGAGGGGGCCCCAGCAGAGCTGAGCTCTCCCACGCCCAGCCCCTGCTCACGGCGCCTTGGTGGGAGCAGTCTTCGTGCAGGATGAGAGAGCCCCATTTCCTCTTGCCAGCCGAGTCCCTGTGGTCCCCTCTTCTGCAGGATGAGTGGAGCCCATCCCTGTGGACCCCGGGAGGCTGGGGAATGCTGTATATCCACACCCCCGACGGTCGGTTCTGCCTGTCGAGTTGGCACACACGCTGGCACAGATGTCTTTCTAGGTCTTCTGGGGGTGGAAAATCTCAGAACCTGAGTGTAATAGTTATTGGACCGATAGAAATTCAAATGCTGAGACCTCACAAAAGAATCTCATCTGAGAATGATCGTGGGAGACACGGAGAGTGACTGAAAGTTTTATTCTCCCATGCAGCTCAAGACAGCCAGACAAACAGACAAACAAACACAGACAAAGAGTGTGGTCAAGGGATCAATGAAAAAAGTTAATCACATATCTAAGGCAACACAATTGCTTTCTACTTATTTGGTCAAGTATTCTGACTTTTTGTTATTTCCTGAATTCTTAAGTAGTGAATTGTTATGACAAATGACTAACCCTTCAGTGAGTCTGGAGTATCTATCTGAAAACACTACCAAACACCATGCTTGTAATAAACTTGTGCAAATATGTGTATTCACGTGATCTCCTCCTTTGGTTCATGTACTAACTACCTGCAAGTCCCTGGACATGGAACTTAACGAAAATTCTAATCACGATCTTTATGTACTCAATTTCATGAACCAGAAAATGAGTTGACTTCCAGGGCCTTCACTTAATTACTGCCCTACACTAACACATGCTAATGTATTCATAGATTCAGTTTTTTTGGTCAGTGTTATCAAGCTACTCTCCATTGATGGCTATTTATGAAAATAAATAATACATCACATTAATGATAGTAAGTATTGCCTGTACCACCACAAATATGATTGATAATCTTTTACTCACTTTCCTGGAGCTCTGGTATACAGAGGATTTTTGTTCAGGGAGAGGAAACAGGTTCAGCATTCACAGTGATCCAGGTTTGGCCTGTGAAGATGACATGGGTGCAGATGAGGAGACCGAGGCTCAGAGGAGCAGAGAGGAAGCCAGGTTGCTCCCTGTGGGAAATGGGCAGGGGACAGGCAATCGCTGTGAGGTGATCACTGGACTGGAAGCCGGGGGTGTCTTTTTGCTGTGGACAGAGGAAAGGGGTGGGACGACACGCTCAGGAAAGATGCCAGAGAAGATTTTACAAAATGTACAAAGGGAATACTTGGGGCTAATTATGCCCCACCCCTGTCCAAATGCTCCTGCATGTTTGGTCATTTTGGTCTCTGGTTGTTACCCACAGTAAACGTATGAGCTACATAAATTATTTCCATGGTGCAAATGAGGAAAAAAGGATGAAGATGCCGCTCCCAGGGGTTCTGCAGAGCCCAACAGCAGGCTGGTGCCTGGAGCTCGGACACCTGACCTCCCTGCTGTTCAGGGTTTTCTTTTGGGAAAAGGAAATGGTTACATCCTGGGGTAAGGGTGGCACGTGATGGAAATAGATGCTATTCCCTTGGCACAAGTGTGCGTTGGTGGTGAGTATGTAGCAATTCAGAGGGAAGCTTTGTAGATGAGCTCTTGGTGTCTTACTTATTTAAGAAGTTTAATTCCATGCCAAACCGTCTGCTGCAAACTCAGTGACAAGCAGAGCACTGTCTCCTACAACAGCTCTCAACTCGCTTTTCGTCTCACAGTGCTGCTTTTGAAAAACTTGCAGAGTACATTCAGTACTCCTGCATCCGAGCACATACAACTTCTAGAGACAGCCGGTTACAGAGAGCTGAGAGCTTACCCATATCGTGTTTAGTTATTCATTAAATTAACTTATATTTGATCATAAATATATTGGAAACTTTTTGATATAGATTAATGATATAGATTAATATAGATTAACTTTTGATATAGATTAATGGTTACAACAGTTTATAATGTGTTGTTTTTTAATTTGAATCCTTACAATACTTGGAAAACAGATTAAATTTTTTTTCCTAATTTTTTCCATAACCCACTGTGTTTAGTCCACAAATATGTTTGCTTATGTGTTCTTTTCACTTTCCCTGGAGGTATTAAAAGAAAGTTAATCAGTAAATTTCCCACAATTGCCTCTTTCAGAAATAAACATCAGACTTTTATGGCTATGCTTAGAAAAAAGTAAGAGTATACTATAGGTTGTTATAATTTCTAAAGTTAAAGAGTCTTAGTTTTGCAGGTATTTTTCCTTTTATTACTTTGTCTTCTTCTCTCCCTTTCTGTGCTAGCTATCTGACTAAATTTGATATGACTCAGGGAAGTTAATCTACTCTGGTAGGAGACAAGTTTTCAGTTCCAATCTGAAGGGCATAGGCAGTTAGCACTGACTCACCCATGAGAGGAGCGTGAGGGATGCGGTCTCCGCAGAGCCAGCTGCTGAAGGGAGCCTGTGTGAGCACACGGCAGATGGAGAGTGAATCACGGCCAGAATCGCGGCCATGTCCATGTCGGCCACCTGAGTGCTCAGCTGCACCGGAGAGCCCTAAATTATGAGGGGTGCTGAAAAGTCTGTCAACGAAGTCGCACGCCTGGAGTGACCAAGCTTTCATCTTCCCTTAGATAAACAAAATGAAGATCGATCTTAATATGATTAGTAGCTTAAAGGGACTCCTTCAGGTCACGACTTAGAAAATAGATGGTGTTTGCCTTTATATCATTTTATAACTAAAAGATTCTTTGTCCCATAAAAATTGGCTAAATATCAATCTCATTCAAGCTAAGAGTTAAACATGTAAATAACTAGGATTTATAAAATAGTTCTTAGAAGTCAGATTAGTAGCCAGATTAAATGCATGTGATAGAGAAAAAAACAAAATACATTCACAAAATTCAAACTCGTGGAAGGAAAATACGAGCTCTACTCTTAAGTTAAAATGGGACAGTCCAGTTTGTTGATGATGTTATCTAATTCTTAACACCCTAAGGGCCCCCCAGGCCCTAGATGAATTTCCATGATACAACACAAAGAAATGGCATTCCTCCACCTTTTTTATTATTGGGAGCTTGTTTTCTATTTTTATAGCTTCAGACACCTGTGCTGCTCCTCACTTAGGTAAGTTTAATATATTACAGTCATAAAGTAATGCTGATGCTTGGAATTTGATTCCCGAGAGAAGATCTACACAGTGAGCTTCAGAATTTGGCTAGCAGGTTCAGCTGTCCCTGGGCCCAGCTCACCCTGCCCTCTTCCAGCACCTCTAGACTTGTTATGCTGGGATCACCCTCAAAGGCCCAATAACATCATCAAATTATATGCCAAGAGCAGGAAACTGTTCCAGCCATCAACTTTGCTTGAGATTGACCTTGCTTCTTTTTAGTGTTATACTGTTCCTGAAGGCTGCCCTACCAATGAGCAATGCCCCTAAGCCAGACAAATAATGCCTGTCCTTAGGTTAACAAAATTCTTCCTATGTTATTTTGTAGTAGAATTTATGCGCTGTGATTGGCTTGGCATTGGCCTCTCTTTCAACTCCTCACCGCACTCACCTTGCTTTGCCTCACAGTATAGTTATACTTTTACTTATTTTACTGAATCATTAAGTATTGAGATCATAGAGGGAAAGGAGCATATTTCACTCCCTTCTCTACCTTTTTGCATGCCCATCCCAGAGCCTGGATCAAATGCTTGTGACTTTCACTTAATGCTTGATTTGGTGAGTAAATTTTGAGAATTTCATCGTTTTTTGTTGTTTTAACTAGATAATTTTGCCCTTCCCCTTGCAATATGATTACATGTGTTATGGTTTGTGTCTGGATGTCCCCCCAAAGCCTTATGCAATCATGGGGTGTGCTTAGAGTTTATAATTGATCCATGATCCAATGCTGGGATTATGGGTGTGAGTGCTACATCCACCCTGGGGTGGATAGTTTGCATATGTAAGAGAGAGAAAGAGGCTGCTTGCCACCACTTCTTCCTTTTCTTTGGCTGTTTTTTTTTTTCTGTTTTCTGCTGCTATGAACTGTTGCCCTCCGCCATGTGCCACTCTGCCTTGGAGCCAGCCAAGTATGGACTGAAACCTCCACAAACTGTGAAATAAATAAACCTTTCCTTCCTTAATTCTGGGTGTCAGGTATTTTGTCTCAGCAATGAGAGGAAAGTAACTGAGACAACATGATTCCCTATTTTGGAGCCTAATATTTGTAAAAAGAGCCTGATCTAAATCAACCCAAGGTTCACATCCTGTCTGTGACTTTCTGGTCCTAGATGTGGAAATGAGCTCTTACTACTCTGTTCCTATTTTAAAGATTATTCTTTTTTTTGGTTTTGTTTTGTTTTTTGGTTTTTCTCCGGTACCAGGAACCGAACTCATGACCTTGCGCTTGCCAGGCAAACGCTTTTGCCACTGAGATAAATCCCCAGCCCCTTTAAAGATTATTCTAATGTTTTTCACAACAGTTGTGCAATAACCATGGCTATGTGTCATAAAATGAAGCAAATCATACACCATAGACTCAGGAGAGCAGCAGAAACCTGGTGTCTCACAAGAGATCAGGAAGAGGAACTCCTTGTCTATCGAAAAGAGGGATGGGTGCAGAATTAGCTCCTGAGAGAAGCTCTTAGTTTTGTTGAATGTTAAGAAGGCCTTTAATTTGGCTTCCATTTACTAAGAGAAGTATAGGAAGGTTAAATATACTCTCTTTCTCATCTAAAAATTGCTAGAGTAATGTGTACCTCTAAAAATTGCTACAGTGATTAAATCAGATGACACAGCCCACTTCCTGAGGTTCTGTTCCACGGCTGCCTCTACTTAGACTCCTATGTAAACAATTGTGGCCTGTTATGGGTCCAATCTGGGTTCAATTGATATGAAGCCAGAGAAAGCAGTGAAGGAAAACCAGAACATAGGAAACTTGGATGAGAGAAGTGAAACTCTTGTTCAAGCAATTTGCTTGAAGAGAATGTGAGGGCTGTCATTCAGTGGCTTTCCATAGTGGAAGCTAGCTTAGAAAACCTCTTTGGGTCAGTGTGTGTTAATTCTGAGAAAGGCCTTTCCAATAATTGGTGATCTCCAGGTTAGAAAAGCACACATGAGACTAGCTGTCCAACTATTTTTGATATTGCAAACATGGACTGTGTAGGGACTCGGTCTCTTGGTGTACCCTGGGGAGGAATGGCAGTGGGAAACATGGACAAGAGACAAGAGCTGGGTCAGTTGGAGGCGTCTTTCCCAGATGGGTAAGAGGACTTGAACAACAACAGTAGGACTTGAACAACAGCTGCCTTTGCAAAGATAGTATCACAAGACACAAGTTTGCCTAGCAACTAATGACTGAATTGTCTGGAGAGGATGCTTTTCTCCGGACTGAGGTAGCTTGACTGCTTTAGGCACTGTGGCTCTGTCCTGCCCTCATACATATGACCAATTTCAAGCTTCAGCCGCTCCCAACAGGAATGTTGGAAAATGAGCCCACAAATGTCATGAGGAAGAGTCTGTATGAGAACAGACACATGTACGTGCTCTACAGGGCTGTCCGGCACCAAGAACCAGTCCTGCAACTTTACACACACAGCTGGGTATCCAACAAGACAGTTCCGTCCCAACACCCTCTACCGAGAATCAGCACAGAGCTCACAGGGGGCCTGTAGACTGCTGCCACATCAGATCCCATTTGCAAGTCCCTGGCCTCCTGTGTCTCACACCGACTATAAACCAGGGTTTCTCGTGGCTTGCTCCTTGGGTTCAGTAATTTACTAGAACACTTCATAGAACTCAGGAAGACATTATTTAGATTACTTGTTCATTAGAAAGGATCTCATACAGGAACTAACTAATGTAATAGATCCACAAGGTGTGGTTTGTGGTGTGGGGCGATGAGACTTCCCTGGACTCTTTGGCTATGTTGCCTCCCAAATCTTGTTGTGTTCCCCAATCCAGAAGCTCAGGAACCCCATTGCTGAGGAGGTTTTGTGGGAGGTTCATTACACAGGAATGATAAACGATCACCTCAGGGTCTAACCCCTCTTGGCTCCCTAGGTGGGTGGGGCTGGTGGGGCTTGAAGCTGAAAGCTATGAGCCTCTAATAAAGATTGTTTTTCAGGAGATCAACCCCATCCTGCAGCTATCTAGATGCCTGCCAAACTCATCTCATTAGAACAAAAAGCTTACCTACCATCCAGGAAATTCCTAGGGATTTAGGAGCTTTGTGTCAGGAAGTAGGCACCAAGACCAAAGGCATAGTTTCTAGCATGCCATATCTACACGCACACTTGCGTGCTGCTCTTGCTGTTACAACAGGTCTAATGTTACAAATGTGCCAGAACCTCACCTGGGATTAAGAAAAGCCAGAATGAGTACGCAAAGAACAAAGACGTTTCTTACCATGGCTGCACAGGTAGGTATGGGTGACTGTATTTTCCTAAATGACTGCAATATTTCTCATCTACTTCTTACAACAGGACCTTGACAATCCTTCCACTCAGTGTGGGTCCCCATCCCTCCCTGTGAAATGGGGAGTATGAAGGACACTGCTCCCTGTTCCCGCAGCAGAGTGAGGGGAAGTGACATCATGTGATTCTGCAGTCAGCTCAAGAAAGGTTCAGCCTCTACCAGTCTTGCTCATTCAGTGATGCCACCACTGCGCTGTGCGGAAGCTCAAAGAAACCCAGGTGGAAGAAATCACAGACAGGCACCCACAGAGAGAGGAGCTGAGCCCAGCGGACAGCGAGCATAGATGGACTTGCAGATATTCCTGTGTCCTCTGGAGCTTGCATTTGAGATTTCAAATACCGGAGAGTACAGTGCAGCCATCCCTCCTGTGCCCTGTCTGAATTTCTGGTCTGTAGGGCCAGTAAGTGTAATAAATGGGGGTAAGGAGATGCTATCCAGTAAGTTCTAGGAACAATTATGTAATTTCAAAAATGCTTTATGTAAAAACAAAGTGCGATGAGTCTGAAGAATTACTAGCTAATGGCTAAAATTCAGGGAGGAGAAGAAGGTCAGCAGTCATATAGTAAGTGGAAGATGGTTGGATTAGTGACAGGAACTCATTCATGACTTCATTCGTGACTTCAACAGAAGCAGTTTTGGAAGACTGTGGTAGGTATAGTCTGAAGGACATGGATTAGAAAGAAGATAAGATGGATTAGAGAGGGTGAATCTGGATATTTCTAAAAGGGAGACACAAAAGGAGTCTGTAGGTGTGGGATAAAGTGATGTCAGAGAAAGCTCTGCTTACTTTCCATGATGGAGGTATACATCATGCTTGCACATGGAGGATTTTATAATGAGGATCTGGTAGATTCAGTGGAAAGGGAAATATTAGAAGCAGGCTGCTGGGAAGAGAATTCTAGTACCTCGACCTTGTGAGCAGAAGGGTAGGTAACACCACTGCAGAAATGAAAGGGTACACAGACAGCTCCTGCAGCAGTGAAAAATCTTTGCAAGCATTTTTTTTTATTTTAAAGAGGAAAAACAATAAAAATGATAGAGAATTTCAAAACAAGATGATAGGGCACTAATAATGGTTATTATATTGCATATTATTATCTTTAAAGTAGTTGCTCAGATTACCAGATACAGGCATGCAAAATTGATCAAACAGTATAGACACTAACTGTTCCTTTCAATGAACTAGTAGAAATTAGTAGTACAATTATCTTAGCTAGCTTCTGTGTGTATATATGTATGTATTTTTAAAATTTTTCCCTTCCTTGCTTTCTCTTTCACAATATCTATTGTACCTCTCAGATTTTATCTACTCTTTCAGTTTCTTACACTAGGAAAACAATATATCTTTACATATGCGATTCTGATTTATTTCTCTTATAAGTATGGTCTCTAGTTGCATCCATTTACCTGTAAAAGTCTAGAGTTTATCTGTTTTATAGCTGAGTAATACTCCCTTGTATAACCATACCACATCTTTTTCATCCATTCTTTGGTTGATGGGCATTTGGGTTGTTTCCAAAATTTATCTATTACAAATTATGCTGCTATAAACATGGGTGCACATATGTCACTGTGGTATGATGTTTTCATTTCTTCTGAAAAAAATACCCAGAAGGGGATTACCTGGGTTGAATGGGACCTCTAACCCTAGTTTTTTGAGAAATCTCCACACTGATTTCCACAGAGGTTGTAACAGTCTACACTCCCACCAGCAGTGGAGAAAGTGTTCCTTTTGCTCCATAGACCCACCAGCATTTGTTATTGGTCTATTGTTTGATGGTAACCATTCTTTCTGGGGTGAGATGGAATCTCAGTATTGTTTTAATTTGCATTTCTCAAATGACCATGATGTTGAACATGTTTTCCTATATTTATTTGCCATTTATATCTCTTTGTTTGAGAAGTTTGTATCCATCTCAGATGCCCATTTTTGGATTGGGTCTTTGAATTCTGCAGGTTTATTCCTTTTTTAATTCTTTATATGTTCTAGAGAGAAGTGCTTTGTCTGAGGGAAGGTTGGTTAATTTTTTTTCTAATTTTGTGGGTTTTCTTTTCACTCTGTTGGTGATTTCTTTTGCTGTGCAAAAACTTTTCAATAAGATGAGATCCCACTTGTTGATTCTTTGAAGTGTTTCCTGTGCAGTTTGGTTTTTGTTCATAAACTTTCTGCCTACACCTACGTCTTCGAGATTTTTACCTACTTCCTCTTCCAGTAGATTTAATGTTTCTATTTTAATATTTAGATCTTTGAGCTGTTTTGACTTTTGTTTAGTGCATAGTGATAGACATGGATCTAGTTTTAGTTTTTGGCATGTGGAAATTCACTTTTTCCAGCACCATTCATTAAAGAGGCTACCTTCCTTCCAGTGAACATGTTTGTCCCTTTTGTCAAAGATAAGGTGGCTGAGTGTGTTTGCAGTTATATCTGTATCTTCTAATCCATCCCACTGGTCCTCGGGTCTGTGTGTGTGTATTTTTTTTTTTTTTTTTTGCCAGTACCATGCTGATTTTATCAGAGTAGCTTTGTAGTATAATTTCAAGTCAAGGATTGTGATGCCTCCTGCCTTGCCTTTGTTGCCCAGGACTGCTTTTGCTATTCTAGATCTCTTCCAGTTCCAGATGAATTTTAGGCATGTTTTCTCTAGATCTGTTTTTATTTTTGATGAAAGATTTTATTATATGCATTGTTTTTTCTAAACTAATACTTCAGTAGTCAGGCTGAATTAGGGTGCTGGCATTCTGTGATGAATAAGTGGGTTTGGTTGCAGTTTGTTCCTTTGTCTCTACAAGGTTTGCCTCCACTGCTCTAGAACAATGGGAGGAAGGCAGGGCACACACAAAGAGAAATGAGCCTGGTGCAAGAGTCTGTGGGACCCCCCTCATGGGCTGAGGAAAGCAAGACCATTGTATGTGATGGGGCTGGGGTGGCAGCACAGGACAGTGTAATTTAAGTAGACTACTTCATGAATTAAAAAGAAAATCCCTGAAGCAGAACCCCCAGGTAGGAAAAGCACACTCTTCAGGTTGGTGGGCACAGGTATAAAGCAAGGGGCTCACTGCCGAGCCTGGCTTGGTTCTGTTTGTAGACCATGGAGAAAAAGAGAGACTAATGTAAACAGGCTTGTGAGCATTGCTGAATAAACATGAGAAATAGAACCTGAGAAAGTGAATTAGGAGTTTATGAAAGGGAAGGATTAAGAATTATGTAATGGAAAGCTTATAATGAGTGCTGTGGGATATATAGATTAAGAAGCTAGAGGCCAGGTTTGGTAGCATATGCCTATAATCTCAGCACTTGGGAGGCTGTGGCATAAGGCTCATCACAAGCTCGAAGCCAGCCTGAACTAGGTAGACCCTGTGTCAAAAATCCAAAACAAACTAACAAACAAACAGACAGAAGCAGGAGAAGGCATCATTGTGGGGGTGAGGGATGGTAGGATGGAGAAGTCCATGAACTGATGATGTTAGTGTTTTTGCAGGCAGGATATTAGTGGTGGTCACAGACTGAGAATGACAATGATTAAAGTATAAAGTGCAGAGCTGCCAGTAATAACACGCCCTAGGTCAGGACTGGAAATCAGTGGCTCAGATGCAACGGAGGAAGAGACTTGGGCAGAATTCAGGGGTGTGGCAGATAGTTATCTGTTAACTAAAAACATAACCTGTAGCAGTATTAAAACTACTCAGAAATGTAGCAGGTCATTTCCTTGGGAACTGCAACCATGAATGAAAAAAAATCTTCAAAGAATGAATGATGTCAGCCAGGAAGTCACTTGCTTGAAGTTTCCAGGAAATAGTTGAGTGCTTTTGTGTAAAGGAGTTCTGTGAGTGACTGTGGGGGGCTGTGATGGTAGGAGGGATAAAGGGAGACGGGAGAAGGACTCCGCCAGGGCTGTGCTTTGGGAGAGCAGGAGAGGCGCTCAGTGCTGGCCCGCAGGAGTTGGGAAGAGCTTAAATGTTTGAGTTGGGCTGTTTGTGGCTTGCTGTCCACTGAACTGTGTGACCCTGCCTCCTGTGGCCAGACACGGAGTGAAACCTACCAGATTCACACATGCACACCTGAAAAGGTAATCTCACAGTGTGGAGTCTTAGGAAGTGGCTCCTGCACATTTGGGTTGCCATAGGGGTGAATAGAGACTAACAGAAAGAAGGAAAAATTCAAATGGCATGGGAGCCAAGGGAGTGTGAGCCTCATAAATTCAAAGAAAATCTAGGAAGTGCTCTGGAGAGCTCGAGCTTGAAAAATCGGTGGGCTGAGAGTACCTGGAGAGCAGATACATCTCCTTGTCTTTCGGACTAAATGTCTGTGTATCCCATGCCATAGTGTAACTCTGACAATGTCTCACAAGCTTTTCATTTATTCATCAGCCTTTGTATGCAGCAAGGTATGGTGATGCGTAATTTCAACATTCGAGAGGCTGAGTCAGGAAAATTGCAAATTCTAGACTATCTTGGGCAACTTGGCAAGACTGTCTTAAAACATGAGCAAACAAAAACGAACAGACAAATAAGTAAATAAATAAATAAATAGGTCTGGGCATGTAGCTCAGCGGGAGGGCGCCTTGGAGTTCAGTGCCTTGTATTGCTAAACAACGGCAACAGCAAATCTTAGTATGCGTGCTCCCTCATTGCCCGCACCCTCTGGAATTTTAACTGTGCTGATATGCTGGTACCTGTGCACGTACTGAAGACCTTGGGAAGGTCACACATCCTTGTAGTATCTAAGATGTTTGATCCATCCAAGAACCAATTTTTGCCCCCTTGAGAGTGATATAGTCCCTCCAAGTATGCAAGATCTGGAGAAATAAATTTCCATGTGCTAAATTCTCCATGTCTGGTGTTCCTTTTCCAGTAATTGTGTTCTCTTCCTCAGGATAAATTCACAACTTTCTAGAAATATTTCTTTAAGGAGAATGCTCTGCCATGCATTTGTCAGAAATCCTGTCCTCTTGTGTGTTTTTTTTTCTTCTGACTCCATCCAGTGAGGACTTCCCAGTAGATTTTCCAAAGCAATTTGATTCCTTATTAGTGTTGCTGATTCATGCACTCTTCAGCAGGTTTCCACTTTCCTTGGGGGTCCAGGGATATGTTAAATGGTTTTGTATCATCTCCGTCTAACCCATGGTAATAAAACATGATCCAGGAACAGCTGCTTAAATGGCTTGGCCCCTTGGTGTATGCTTCAATTTTTCTAAGGCCATCAATCTTCAATCATTTGTAGCAAATATTCTCTATACTCACACCAGATGTGGGTGGGGAAGAGCAGGCGACCGAAGAGAAGAAAGGCAGAAAAACACCTATGTATCACTGGCCTCTTCAACCTGGTGTTCAACTCTAGGTACAGTTTATCTGTCCTTAGTTAAAGTAGGAACTTCTAAATTAAAGTAGGAACATTAACATCACAGTGTGACCATCCTGCTAAATAAAGTGATTTTATGTTACACAAACTTAAATCTTCTGAGCGTGTGTTGGACTCTAGAATGTTTATCAAATACATAGCAACATAAAAATGTATATATGTAAATACACGTGATAAGACTATATTACTTACCATTATTCACTAGTAAATATATATATACACATGCGTGTGTGAGCCTCTGTGTGTGTGTGTGTGTGTGTGTGGTACTCATCTGCTAAGGCTGCTGTAACAAATTATTACCGACTGGGTGGCTTGATCAGCAGAGCTTTACTGTCCCGTGTTCTGAAACCTGAAGTCCAGGACGGAGGCCTCCCAGGGCTGGTTTCTCCCGAAGCCTCTCCTTGGCGGGAGCACAGTTGTCTTCCCAGTGTCTTCTCCCCTAGCTTCTCTCTGCGCCTGAATCCCTGAGTCTCTG